CCCCTTTAATTCTCTCCCCCATCCTCGGGGAGGGATTGAGTGAGTGGGTGTGTGGCCCCCAGCCAAGGGCAAGCCCATCACATGTGGTCACACATCAGCTGTGCCAGTTGATCAGGTCATCCCAGCTCGGGCATAGATTTTAAACTGGAGTAGGTGAGGGTTGCTGGGGTGCTCGAGGGAGTGCAAGGGGATGCTAAAAAACCTTGGGATAATTCAGCTCAGCACAAATGGAGAGTTGTGGTTGGTACCTACAAGTACATCAGGGTAGATGCTGGGAACAGGCAGAGGGTGTGGGAAGCGATGGACAAGGTTCCATGGATGGATGGGCACGGGCTGTCCAGGAACGCGTGTGGGCAGCAAGGCTGCAAAAGGTACAGCCAGGCGTTATTGCCTGGAGCTGCGGCAACACCTTACCAAAAGGAGTGATGGAGGGAAGAAGCTGACTAGTTCAAGATGGGTATTTAGCCATTTTCAGAAAAAAATACATAACAGATTGGGTGCAATGCCATGGACAGAATCTGATGACCCAGCAGATCCTGGTTAGCTGTGTATGTTGTTTTATATAATGTCAGAATTTTCCTTTCCAGCCCTCCCAGGTGCTGCCTGCAGAGGACGTGTGTGAAGACGGGGAACCCATGCAGATTGCACAGAGGTGAGGAGGGCGATAGCAGAGCGTGGGGCTCCCGGGCTCGCTCTGGTGACCTGGGCTCTTCCAAGGAGCATTTTGGGGTGTGATCTCACCAGGGCTCGCTGCAGGGCCTGGCAGCAGGGCTTGCTGGAAACACATGGCTTTGAAGCAGTGTGGGAGAGAGGTGAGGCATAACAGAGGAGATCAGTTACTCATGTTACTTTATAAAACGTGCGAGGTGCATCCTAGTACAAGCACAAGGACTTGCTCCTTGCCCTCTGAAGCTGATGTGACGCGGTGCAGTTAAGCTGTGCAGATGGGCAGGTGAGCTGAAGGTGAGCTATAGCGATGCCATCACGTGCTCTGTCTGGGAAGGCGCAGAGGCAGCATGGTGGAGGGTTTGCTGGATTTCTGTGTGTATTTTTATGTTCTTGCCTTACTGATGAAGAGGAAAGAAGGGAGGAGGGAGCCAGACGGCACTGCCTATCAGCCAAAGATAGAGTGCAGTGCTCCAGAAAAGCCACTTCAGCAGATGACAGGTGTGGGACAAGTCAACATGATTTTCTTCAGATTTAAGCCTACTCTTCTTTTCCTTTTTTTTCCTTCTCCTTCCTGTGGGATGCAATTCTGCAGCAAGGGCTCTGGGAGACGAAGGGCAAAAGGAGATGATTCAAGGAGCAAGTTACAAGACAGGGCAGATAATGTCATGTTCTTAATTTTCTGGGTTTTATAATTTAAACCTGCTTTGGAACAAAACTGCCAAATTTCCTCTGATCCACCAGCATTTGGCCTGAGCAGTTAATATCAATATGCAGAGTATGAAAATCCCTCTTGCTTGCACCTTTCTAACAAGCTTAAAGCTCCCCTTGGGGAGCAGGAGGAACCTGTGGCTGCCGGGGCTGATGAGTCTGTGACAGCTGAGGTCTGAGCTGTGTGCTTGCATCAAAGGCTCCGAGGTGGGAGCTCTGCCACGCTGGCCTCCCTCTGGCTTAACGCAGAAGAAGCCAGGGCTGAGAAAGAAAAGAGAGGGACCTCTTTCCTTTGGTGTAGCTGATGGGGTGAGTTTGGGACGTTCTCCAAGCCCTCCAGGAGCTCCTGGCTGCACCCTTTGGGAGTGAGACACACCTGGGTGCTGCGGCCCCTCCTCGAGCAGCTGGAACATCTGCAGCAAGGCAAGGAGTGGCTGCAGTCTTTGCAGTTTTGTGCACATTTAGAGTTGCCATCTGGCTCCTGGTGATTTGCCAAGTGCAGTCAGTCCTCTCCCGGGTAAGGCTCAGGTACCCCGACCAGCCGACCTCAGCAGCACTTAATCAGAAAACACGGCTCTGAGCTGTGTGGAGGTAGCGAAGCAGTTTAGGAAGCAGCAGCAGCGAGAAGAGGCTGCTTTGCTTTCTGCGGGACGCTCTGCCTGATTGTTTTACGCTTTGTGCGGAGCACGGTAGATTGGGGTTTTAATAAATGATTATAGGCTTTGTTACTGGGAGATAGTTGGTGTAGCAAGAAATGTGGTTTGACTTCAAATTGCTTAGCCCATTTTATAAATGTCATAGCAAGTTGTTTTGTGTGAGTTCTTTTGAAGAGAGCCCTGATGTTAGACACAGAGTAAAACATGCTCAGCCTGGATTCATAACAAATGCCTTGAGATGCTTTATTTAGAGAGAAAAGCCACTTGTGATTTCCTATCAGAATTTTGTTATTTATCGTAAATCAGCAGTGGCTGTTCTCTCCTCTCTCAGGCCTGTGGTTGAGCTTAATAAATCTTCTGTTTGTCAGTATGGAGATTCATGTTTTTAAAGTGTGTTCTTGCATACTTGATCAGACTAATCAGAAAGCCACGCAAAGCACGGAGCGTGTCAGCATGGGTGCCAGACTTACTCAGCAATGCCTGCCTGCTTTGGAAAGACACTGTGCAGTGTGCGGGGAGGGGGAAAAAAAGGAGGAATCCGAAGGTCAAAATGAGAGGAGCAGTACCCAGTGCTGCTCGGAGGAACCACTGCGCTAATGCTGGTAGGACTTTGCTGCGGGGAAGCCTGGCCTTGTGTTGCATCCGAGCAGCTTCTGGCTGCCATGTGCAGAGATAAGGAAGAAAATCAGCAGTGTGAGGAGGGAGAGGGTAATGTGGGTAAAGCAGGGTCTGTGTCTCTCCTCTCTGAGGAGTTCCTTCCCTGGATGGAAGAAGGCACAGTGCTGGTACCGGCACAACTCCGCAGCCTAAGAGTAGAAAGAGTCAACAGAGTCCTACAGTTGTGAGCAGGTATTTGTGCTCCCCTCGCATGAGATAGGGACTCTTTGTGCCTTTTTGTCAAGGGCTTCTAAAAGAAGTGTTCCCTTGAGGTTTTTGCTTAGGACAGCATTTTATACCCATATTTCCTGGTTCTTGCGCTCATTTCTGGCTATCAGATATTGACCACTTGGAAATTATGGCATTGGCTGCTGCTCTGAACTGCGTGAGACAGGGGGGTGTGTGCTGTCACACCTACTGGATTGGAGATTTATATTATGTTTATATTTTGAACAGCATCTCCATGTTAACCCCACTTGTCAGTAGAAGGAGTCCAGATATTTCCACAGAAAACTCTGATGAAGAAGAGATCTCTGTTTGCCCAGGTAAGAAGCACTTCAGAATGTTCTGAATTTTTCACCAAAAGTTACACAAGTTATTCAAAGTTATACAAAATTCAGAGGAAAGAATAGAATTTTCAAGTTATTTGAACAGAGCAAGATTTCTTTCCTAGCTCTGTTTGCCAGGACTGAAATTATCTAGGTAATTTAGTTTGATTCCCTGTTTTTTGACCCATGTCCTCTAAGACAGTTCTGTGACCAGGGATTGCTGGGGACTTGCTGCTGAAGAGACACCAGGATGTATGTCGGTATGGAGGGATCACTCAGAAAAATGTATCAGGAGTGGTCTCTTCAATGCAGTCAAGAAATTTTCAGATTTTTCAGTGTCAACATATGTGTAAAGCAAATATTTTTTGTCTTACATTAATTAAACATGTTTTGGGACCAATGAGTTTTTCTTCCTTGGTCTCTCCTAACCCATTTGAGATTTTCCACTCCAGGGTTTAAGTGAGAAAATTAACGAAGAGACTGCTCCTGTTCACGAGCAGCTGTAGAGAGAGAGGTCATGGTGGTGCTTGGAGGCGTATTTTGTTGCTAAGGAAGATGTGGAGGTCTAAAGAAGGTGTGACTGCGAGGCAGACCGCACAATGGGAGCTCTGTTTGTCTCGATGCGAGGGAGAGCTCTATTCTTGCTTTGTCTCTATCCCAGCAAGTGCCCCACGCACTTTGCCTGTGTCTAGTCTCACTCCCCATGAAGCTGCAAAGCTGTGGTGGCTTTGTCCTCGCACCACCGTGCTGTGACTTTTAACCCCTCATCCGGCTGTGTTGTTGCACATTGTCTGATAACATTTGTGGCAAGTCTAAAAAAATGTTTTGAAACTGTGAAAACGCTGTTAAGAAATGGGCTAAGTTACATCAACAAGCGAAGAGATAGTCTGGGGGCTGCGAACCCGCGCTGACATGGAGGTGTTTTTCTGCAGAGACCCAGCCGAGTCCACTGGAAGCTCTTGAGGCGGAGAGAGAAGAGCTCTGCCCGAGCAGCAGAGATGCACCGATGCAGGTAAGAGCCTGCAGTTGGGGAAGGGTCCTATTTCCAGTCCTGCCTTCTAGAGCTTGGTTCTGCTGGGCTGTGCTGGCATTTCCCCTTGGGTAGCTGGGAGCTTGGGCTTCTGCTGTTAGGATCCTCACAGTCACTTCTCTCTGCTTTTCTCCACTGCTTCATAACTCCAGTCCCTTTTGGCTGGGAGTTGTGTGCAGCTGCTTCTGGAGCCTTTCAGTCCTGTAGCTGGAGAGCTGTTATCAATTCCAGCTCAGTCGTTTACTGCTGTGCTGGAGGATGCCATCGGTGTGCACGGCAGTGCTGTTGCTTGCCCAGGCGCAGAGGTGTAGTGCTGTGCTGGTCAGGAGCTGTGAGGGGAGCCCTAGTAAACCTCAATCACTTGTGTTCTGATGCACTTTTCTGTGTTACAGTCCTCTGAACTTTGGAGGTTGTTCTCCATGGACCTCCAAGAGGCTAAGAGGAGAGGGTCACCCAGACGCTGGGCTGGGTTAAAGATGATGTTTGAAGTGTTGAGGGCTGGTGGTGGTTTGCACTCCAAGCAGAGTGACCTGAGCCCAGAATCTTGCTTTCTGTGCAGGAATATTTAACAGCAATAGCAAGGCAGTGGCAGGGCCATCCTCTTACCTCCTGATGCAGATGTGCGCTGCTGTGCGCCTCCTTTCCCCGTGTTGTCACACCTGCGTAGCGATTGCTTTGCAGCTGTCGCTGTACCGACATCTGACTTCGGTTCCTGCTTCTGATAAAACTCCTTTTGTCTATTAATTTAGAGAGCGATATCAAAGGGGTTGCCAAGTACTCCTCTGGCAGGGTACGTGAATACAGAATCGTACAGCTCTTGACAAGAGGATTCATTTGTGGAAAGCTCATTCTGGGAGGCTGCAGCTTGCACGGTGCATCTGCAGCTCCGATGTCTCATTGTCACAGGCCTCTTAATAAACCAGCTTCGGCTTTCCTGTGCCTTTCATTCTGCAGGTATCTCAAAGCACCGCTCAGTCAATTAGAGACTGCAGCAGGGAGAGGTCCTGGGCTGAGTCGGGCGGCTGCAGCCACCGAAGCACGTTCACAACTCGTTTGGCTATGGCCAGGACACTGCCCTGTCCCTTGTGCTTTGCAGAGGGTGCCCTGGGTGTCACAGCTCTGCCTGGATGGCACAAGATGATCAGCACAGTGTTTGTGAGCAGTATGGTGGGGCTTCCTAGGGATTGTTTGACAGCATTATTGTTGGCAGCAGGTACTGGTCCAGAGCCTGTGAGCCTCCAGGAAGACAGCAGAAACAGCTCCCGTGTGCATCAGCGGTTAGCACGGAGCGAGCGCAGACCACTGGGAATGACTTCTTCCTAGCAGATGCTGAGCCACAGCACAGGAGTCTTGTTGTCGAGCTCAGCCTCTAGCGTTGCTCTTGGCTGGCCGTTGGCTGCGAGTACTATGTCTTGTCGGCAATTTCCTCTGCTAAAGAGGAGAGGTGACAGGCTCTGCCTCTGACAGGAGTGATTGGTTCTGCAGTTAAGGTTTTCCAGGCTGTTACAGCAAGGTTTTGTACAAGCAGGTTTGGGACTGTGGTGTCTTTTGTTACAGAATGTTGCATTTCCATTTAAAATTAGTAATTTGCCACCGAATGTAGGCGGACAGAGTGTGCAGAATCGGTGATCTCCTAAGATTGCTTTAAAAACGGCAACTAGAAGGAGCAGTGCCTGCTGCTTTTCCCATCGTATTTTTTACATCTGTTGTCTGACTAGGATAATGCAAGTTTGATCTGATCATTCACATTTGACACGTCTTGTTTTTTACGACTCTTCTGCATGATGCCCCACAGTGAGGACTTCACAAGATGTAGTGACACTGAGATGTGAGAGCAGGGTACGAGTGCTGGTGCTGTAAGTGCTGTATCTCAATGGCCTGTGTGTGGCTGGAGGAACTCTAGTGGCAGCTCTTTCACAGAAATCCAGGGCAGAGGGTCTCCCTGGAAATGAGAGGGGTGTTCCTGGGGCTTCATGCCGCAGCCCTTCAGCTGGTGTCTGGGAGAAATGTGTTTTATGAGTGGGATTCTCAGTTCAAGGCCCTGTCCTGCAATTTTTTGCATAGCTACTCTGAGTCAGCAAAGCACCCCCCTTCCCGTTAGGACATAAAAATCAGGATCAAACCCTCATTTGGAAAAGCATGTAATAAACTGAGTAATACGACAAAGTGCTCCAGTGGCACTGAGCATCTTGGCTGACCCCAGTTACTGCTTCCCTGAAGTCACACCGTTGGAGGGAGGCAGACGGCAGTTTCGCTGCGTACTGTCCACATGTCGCTGCTTAGCCCTAACAACAGAAAAGTCTCCTATATTATTTTCCTATAGGTTTCTTCCACATGGTTAATATTTAAATAACATTTTAAGTCATTGCAGGGGTGGTAAAGATTCTTTCTCAAATTGAAGAAGTCTTGCAGCAAGCCTGACTAGGCAGAGATCTAGTTATGAGCGAGATGGCAGCAGTTTGCTGTGTCTTGGGAACATCAATAGCGCAGGGAGCGGGCTATATCTCCGCAGGTGGGCAGTGGGGCACTGTTGCAGCTGTGTAACCAATGCAGAGAGAGACTATCGATAAGTGGTAATGACATCCAGAGAAGAAACACAGGCTGTGACATTTTGCCCTGGAGAAAAGCCGCTGCTAGTCATTTTGTGTGACATGGATTTTTAATGGTATTGCCTCTCTCCTTGATCTGTGTCCCCTCTGATGCTTGCTCCAGCCACCTCATCTAGAGAGGAGGAGCTTCCCAGTGATCTCTCTGGACTCCCTAAGAGCACAGCAGCCTCCCTTCATCCTCGGGGAAGCTGTGTTCCCAGACAGAGCCACCTGTGTAGCATGGATCGTGTCCAGAAACTGATGAGCGCCAGTCAGGTGTTGAACTCTTGCTTTGCCCCATGAATTTTCCATCAGTTTCGCTTCTGAGCTTTCCTGATTAATGGAAGCTTTGCCATTTTTCCACAGTAGTACAGGTGATGTTTGCCTTAAATGGTGTGCACGGCTGTGCAGGGAGGTTTCACCATGATTGAGCAGGACATGTTGCATTGGGAAGAAGAATTAGTTATTGCAGCTGCACAGTTTACTCAGGCAGTGGTGTTATTTCTGACCAGTATGTGATGAAGGGAGAATAAAACTTTCCAAGAAAAACAGTCTATGGGAGAGTGAGTAGCTACCAGACAAAAAAAGAGAAGGAGCACAATTAACTGTCTGGCTAATTTGTTCCTCTTCTTCCTTAGACTGGTGGAGATGCGGATGCTGGCAGGACTGTGTCTGAGTGCAGCCCTCCAGCTGCTGACCATGTGCTGTGCCCGCTGTGTGACCAAGGTTTTCCAGCTACCAGGATCCAGCTGCATGCCATGTACTGCAACGGCATCACGGGAGAGGAGGCTGGCGGGGACAGTCCAGGTCTGCCAAGTGCTGCTTGTGTGTGTTTGCCCTTTGTGCTTGTTCCCCTTTCCTGTTATTTGCGGTCGGTCAGGAGCTGCAGTCTTGTCCCTCTTGGGGTATTTGGTGCGTTGTGTGGCATGTAGAGAGGTTTGTTCACTCTGCCTTGTTCCATCTCCAAGCCAGGACAGTGTTAGTGGAGGCTCCTGTGTTTCCAGCACCTCCTGCACAGAGACATCTCTCTGACCAGCTTTGTGATTCATGACATTACTAGTCCCTTGGAAAGCATATAAGCCAAATATTACCCCAGGATCTAGCCCTGGATGCTTCAAGCAGTACTCATAAGACACATCTATTGTGTGTTTTGTGAGGACCAGCAGAGAATGAGGCAGCAGTAGGAAATGGCAGGCTCCCGAGCCAGGTGGATGAGCATCCTTCAAGGCTCTTGAGAAGGGAGGACGTTCTGTAGCGCTCCAAGCACGGCCTGCGCTCTGCAATGAGTCTGACATTTGTATGTGCAAAAATGCCTTGTTCAGCTGCAAGACTGCAGAAAAGTTTCCCTCTTGTTCCTCTAAAATTGCAAAATGATAGCTATCGATCTGGGAGCTTGGATTTTTCTCTTTCATGTGAAGAGTGAGGCATAGAAGCACGATCAACATGCCCGTATTAATCCTCTTTACAGCCTTCTCTGTATCAGTTTTCCATAGCCAACCTTTGTAGAGCTTAAGTGAACAAATACACCGGTTGGTTATCAACATATTCAATAAGTTGTGTTTTAGCTGCTGCTTGAAGTGTAAAGTCTGTGTTAGCACAATGTCAGGTAATATCAAAGTAGTAGCTTGTAATAAGATTAACTTTTCAGGTTGTGAATATATAATTTTGAGTTACATACTGGGCTATTAAATGCAACCTAAATCTATGGTGTTTAAGCAATTTGAGCAAATCAGAGCTAGCACAAGAACTGTAACTTCTGCATTCCTCTACCAAGAGGACGTTTCGCTATGTAGTCTTAATGCAGAGTTGATGTAGTTTAAAATACAAGGTCCCTGTTACACAAAATCTTTGGGGATATGACATGGGTCCTGTCAAGATAACAGAGCCAGAGGAGCAGCTGATTCTGCTTGGTGCTGGATTTTGGAGGGGAGTTCTCTCTGCAGGCACAAACCAGCTACTAATGCAAAGTGCTCGGCTCAGGAAAATCACAAATTACCACCATTCCTCTCCCATCCTCAACGCTGATAAAGGTCTTATCCATGCTACAAAACAGAGCAGAATTTTTAGTATGCCTTTTAGCAG